TAAAAGGCGGTAAACCACTTGTGAGTCTTGAGTTGTACGTGTTCATTGGCGACTGTGTTCATTATTCATTTCATCATCATCCTCATCAGCCTATCGCAGTCCACTGCTGGACATAGGCCTCTCCCATTGCACTATTGGGGCCTTTTCATTTCTAAAAATACTAATTTTACAAATCGTTATAGCAGCATAAAACTATATTCTACCCTCGCCTATCCAAATTTACCTGAAATTAATGCAGTCATATAAAAGTGATTTTGTGTTCGTAGTATTATACATATAACGACACATTCATTGTTTGTGCGAGGCGCGAATTGGGATTCGAACCCATCGATTCTCAACTAATATTTTACACATTCATGTTGAAACAAAAACGTATAGAGCGCAGATTTCAGTTATTGCATACGATTCTGGAAAACTTAGTAAACAACTTTTAGGTTGTATTATTTGCCATCATAAAATAATATTGGATTTATCAATTACTGAATTATTAAATAGCTGACTTTTTGTGTTGCAATTTTATAGTTGATTCTTATAAATAAACTAATAAATTAACGACATGAATAGACAGTTTCTTTTCTAAGTGTTAAAAAACATTAAATTTAAATAGGTGCCCCACTGCTATCCGCTTTTGAGCAAGGATATTAAGATTACAATTATTGGATAGTAGCACACCATAAACGCAAGCCACTTTCGCTTTCAAAAATTATTAGCCATCGGAACGTTTTCGTAAACTCTTAAAAATAAGATATACAACATTAGATACATTCTGCGGAAGATATTTATCATATTATATACTTAAACTGAATTGCTTTTCAGCTACCCTGACAGACGTTGTCAAAAAAATGTAATCGTTTGCATTACACCCATCAGATTTAGTATCTCGTAATCGAGTTTTTACTATTAAAGTTATTTTGAAAACAATATATGGAAAGTCTGTCCTGCCATTCTTAAATGATGCACTTACCAACTGTAAAACGTGTTTTATTAGAAACATACGGACATCAAAATACTATTAAACAAAGTTAAAGTTATTAATTAAGTTTGGATTTGATTTCCAAACTTACTGTATAAGTAACTTTACTTATTTAATAAAACAAACAGTCCAGTTACTACGTTATACATTTCAGCAAAGTGAACAACGGCTCTGCGGCCGCTCAAATGTAAATTAAATGATGAATAGATACGAACGAATGCGCTTTACCACCAACCATTAAGAGATATGTGGATATTATTTACCATTCGTTTTTGTTTATATTCATTTCATAACAATGATTTTAATTTCAGCCTTAAAAGTCAAATTTTAGCTTTATATTCCGAAGTTTAGTTTTATTGGCTAGTGATTTGCCTCTACCTTCTACTCGTACCTCTACCTAACTTCAACTCTATAAATGGCAAACACTGATGATGATTAACAAAAAGGTAAGGTGTATACTAACCATAAGTTTAATAAGGGTTACCGGAGTGGTGACGGATTTAGAATACAGAGTGTCACCACACCTATTCATCCCGTGGGTGTCGTAAGAGCCGACTAAGGAAGCAAACTACGCAGGACAACAGCACTGCAAAGAGAAGGAAAACTTGACACAAATGGTTGTATGGGGAATCAATAACTGCTGAACCGATTGAAATGAAATTTGGTATGGACATAGTTTGATTCTTGAGAAAGAACATAAGCAACTTTTTACTGCGATAACCGATAGACACGCAGACAAATTTAATCATCTTATAACATTTTCACCAAATTAATAAAATGGGTAATACTGTATTGTACTGTATTTGAAACACATTTGCTCTGTATACCGCTTGAAAAGACTAATTATCGTCTATTCTATACGAATCGATTTCACCTTTTTTTATTTTTTTTACGTATGGAAATCCCCTCGGACCGTCACCCCGCCGGGGTTCTCTATTCTGCGGGGCGGTGTCTTTGCGCTTTTATTTTAGGGGGGGTCCAGGTAGTTATCGCCTTCTGGGGGGGCCCTCCCCCCTCCCCGCGCCGGCCCGCTCCTGGTGCGCGCTCCGTCTCAAATCTTCCCCTCTTTAGGCGACGTCCGCCCCGTCGCGGCTGTCCAAACTAATGCGGGTGGAGGGGAAAACCCATCCCGTCCACCCGCGGCCACACTCAGGGTGGCATGAGGCGCAGGTAAGCGCGCCTTCGCCGCCCGGTTCGCCAGCGGCGGATCGGGTCCGAGTGGAGGTCGTCCTTCTCCGGCCTTCTCCGCCGCCTCCTTCTGCGAGATTACTTCCTCGCAGAAGGTTGCGACCGCGGTAAACAACTGTCGCTACCGGCCATGGAGCGTACTACGGCCGGTAGCGAGAGATCCACACTGCAGTGAGGGCCCGGCGCTGCGTCGCCCATGCTGGTCAGACCGCCAGCGTGTGCTGGGCCGAGTCCTCACTGCAGTCGCAGTGGTGGCAGGCGGGACTCAATTCCCTCTTGGCGACCGAGTGCAGGTACTTTCCGAACGTACCACGACGAGGCCCATGGAATAGTAGGGCCTCCGTCTTATACATTGCCACCCGTACACCCAACGCCTCAATGCGCCCGACCACCTGGGAAACTCCCGATGCGGCCAGGCGCGCCGCCTCCTGGAAGTTAGCCCCCCGGGCCGTAACTAACGTGTCATCCGCGTAGCAGATTACACCCAGCCCGGGGGGCAGACGCCCTCGTAGGGCCCAGTCGTACCCCATGTTCCACAGGAGCGGTCCTAGGATAGACCCCTGCGTAACACCGCACGATATGGCCCTGCGTCTCAAGTCGCCATCTCGGTCCTCGTACATGACGGTCCGCTCCTCAAGATAGTCTGCCACTAGCCGCCTCAGGTACTCTGGCACTCCGTGGCAGCGGAGCGCTTCCCGGATGCAGCTGAATGGCAGACTATTGAAGGCGTTGGCGTTGTCCAAGGACACCGCCAAAAGCACGCCGCCGCAGCTCACAGCCTCCTCGGTCACGGCCCTAAGGCGCATCACGGCATCGATCGTCGAACGCCCCTCTCGGAAACCGAATTGGGCGTCCCACAGATCGGGGCCAACCTCGCAGAGGTGCCGGACGATGCGGGCAGAGAGCACCCTCTCAAAAAGTTTACCCGCCTCGTCTAGCAACACGATAGGCCTATAGGCCGCGACCGAATCGACAGGCCGTCCCGGCTTTCTCAGCAGGACCAGCTTCCCGCACTTCCAGCGCTCAGGGCAGCGCGGGTTGTTCGACACGGGCGGGGCGTTCGACAGTCGACGCTGTTTTGCGCCTGAGGGCCGTGACCGAAGAGGCCGTGAGCTGTGGCGGCGTGCTGGTGGCGGTGTCATTGGACATCGCCAACGCATTCAATAGTCTGCCACTCAGCTGCATCAGGGAAGCACTCCACTATCATGGGGTGCCAAAGTACCTGAGGCGGCTAGTGGCAGACTATTTAGAGGAGCGTACCGTCGTGTACGAGGACCGAGATGATAATTCGAGGGGTCGGCTCATGTCGTGCGGTGTTCCACAGGGGTCTGTTCTTGGACCCCTCTTGTGGAACATAGTTTACGACTGGGCCCTTCGAGCCGACAGCCCGGGAGGCGTACTTCCAAGAGGCGGCGCGCCTGGCTACAAGGGGAGTCTCCCTGGTGGGCGCATTGAGGCGCTGGGCTTACGGGTGGCCCTAGATAAGACGGAGGCTCTCTTATTTCATGGGCCCTGTCGTGGTCCACCCCCTGGCGCCTCAATCGTGGTCAACTCGGTCCTCGTACCGGTTCGGGCCCAGATGAAATATCTAGGTCATTATTTTACAAATCGTAAAGATAAACATACGTTATTTTTAATTATTTAACTTCATTAAGAACAACCAAGGTGTATTAAATCAGCAGGTACATTTCGAAATGATTTATCCTTTAGTAAGTCCTGGTTTAAATGTTTCGCTGACGGTACGGCACCCATATCAGCGAAAAACGTCAACTGTTCGTAATCCAAGCTTTGCATGTATTTATTACAACACACCTGCTGCGCAATTTTGATGCTATTTTTATATTACAGTACTGTGCTTCTGCCTGTTACCTTACTGACTAGTTAGGTACCATAATTTAAAACGTAATAATATATTCCTTAATTATACGCCAAAGGTAATAAAAGAGTAAGATTCAAATTTCGACGGTACAGTCGTCTCAACTCATTGTTTTGTTTACAACTAACACATCTATATATCCTTTTCACACCAGTGTTTAACCCCTCCCTCTCCTGCCAATTCTTCCAACAAGACTGCATTCAAACAGCTAATTAGGTATTTTATATGTGTGCCACAGGAACAAAATACATGCGGAGGAGTGCCTCCACCGCATGTAAGTCACCGTCTGTATCGTAAGCTGCTCAGAGACTGAAGCGAAACAAATTAAGACAAACATCTGACCGGTACCCAAGCACCTACCTCTGGTAATGGATAGCGAAGGATGCCACTAGCAAGGAGCCATCGACCTGAACTAGACTCCACAGTCCGCTACGGACGTTGTGAGGATCACAATTACAAGGGTGCACTCTCTGTTACTAAACGGTGATCTAAGTCTAAACTCTCTAAAAACCTACCTTCATTATTTACATCAGTACCTTTTATTCCGTGTTGATATTATTTCGCGTCATAATCGTATTGCCAGTTAATTAAAAACTATTGAATACCTCGTAAACATCTAATTCAATTCATTTTTAGTAAGTTTTGGTCCTCAGTATTAAGTTTTGGTCCTGATCAATACAAGTTAACAGGTCAATTATTTTTACAAATTACTTCAGACTGAGGCATTTTGGCGTTTTGTCTATTAAAAAATACAGATTAGGTCATTTAAATATCAAACTACTCATAAGAAAAATAACCAATCAATTTAAACATTAAACTACACGTAATTAAAGAAAATGGATGTATGAATTCTGTTTATGCATTTTATGTCATTAAGCAATTATAACTGGAAATGCGCCGGCGCGCTATGAGTACGTCTTTAGTATCAACATAAACGTACTGCCAAAACAACGTGGCGAAAATATGATTCGAGTGATATTGTGTTTGAGTTTTTTATCTGTAAGTAAAATTATAGTGTTTTACATTTTTGGTTGATATTTAAATCTAGTTTAACCTCTACCACTGAACCTAGTAGTGTCATTACTACTAATAAAATTGGTACGATAAAGTGGTACCTACAATAAATAAACATTAATATTTAATTGTGCATATTGTACCTAAGTACATTTTGTACAGAATAACGAAAGGGGTGTCGCCATTTTGGGAAGGAATTGGCAAAACAATTATTCGCAAATAAGCCGTCAATGTTTTTATCTACGGCTTGTTCAAAGGCAGACCATACCATGACGATAACATGTCTTATTTTAAATGATGGGACAGTCTAAAGTTCTAACTAGTAACTGCAAACAAGTGATAACCGACTAATGAAATTTGTGTACACACACATGTCAATAAACAGGGTTTTTAGTGCTATATTAGAAGGATTTTTCAGGCTTGCTTGACACATTTTGAATTAATTTTTGTCATCAAAGTGTAGTTTGTTATATCAGAAAATACAAAGTACCCATAATCGAAAATCAGAGACAATACCTACTAACTACTATACTTCCAATTAACAGTTCTCTAGTACAGTAATACAGATATATACATCAACTGAGTACAAAAACTAGCATAATATTGAAAATTTATAATTATACTAGTAAAAATAAAACAGCTTTCAGTTACTTAGTTGGTAGTAAAAAGTGATGCAGAGCAAACAAGAAATCAGAAACGTGTATAATCTTGACAAAAGTCTGATTAATTATTGTACTTATACCTACAACAGAAAATATGTTTTTAAAGTGAAACTTCTTTAGAGTCGTTGTGATTTGTAACTGGAAATAACGAAAATGCGTCACGATAAAGAAACAAACACATAAATGTATAGGATTAAGACGACGAGAGAGTGAGATAGAATACATTACACATTATTTTTAATATAAGATTTTGACACTGAATATTTTTATCTTTTATTGAATTCTAGCTGGTACCCGCGACTTGGTTCGCGTGGAATATGAAAAACGCTGCCTTTGTAGGTACGATTCCCGGGGCCGGGTCAAATGTTATAGGATTTCTCTGAAATAAAACAATATATTTCACTTTTTCCGTGTGTGAATTAGACACACACTTTTTTTAATAATAATTGTGCTCTTTAATAAAAATAATAAGTTGTGATTCAATGTGCGTCATAAATTGAATCAAATAATCGCAAGTTTTATAGATTACAAACGCTATTACTATTACAACGCCATGAAATCAGAAATTTAATGAAAACAGAGCGAGGGCAAATTTTTGTTGATATTATTAAAATGTGTTCAATATTGATTTCATAGTTACATGATATAAATTTTCACATAATATTAAAACCTGTGATTCGATATTGTGATACTTGTTATTCTGACAAATGAAGAGATATTATCGGAAGTAAGTAGTAGTAGAATTACATGAACTGTTGAATTGGCAATGAATGAAGAAAAGGCAATTCGATTGTTTATATGTCAATATTATTCAACATATATTTAAATAAATCCTTTCGTTGCTTTCCACCGAGTAAGTGAGGTTACAGGAACCCAAAACTCTCCCTTAAAGGTGGACACCTTTTTTTTTCCGTGCGGAAATCCCCTCGGATACCACCTATCGGTGGCATGTCGGACTCGAACCGACTAAAACCGCACGCCGTCTCGGGTACTACTAGCCGGGGAACCAGGTATACCCTAGAAAGAAAGTCCCTGGTGCGCCCATGGACACCTGCAACTCAAAAGTCACAAGTGCGTTAAAAAATAATAATTAAATAAAACTACATAAAAATACACCCCACGGTCATCTCTAATTATTGTTTTAATTTATTTATTAAAATATTTACTATATATCATAAAAATTTCAGGTATGCCTGCATTGGCCACAAATATCTGCTGAACAAACGACCTTCACTCAAGAAACGTCAAAGGATTCTACGATTACACCAAATAGTAATGATGTAACTAAAAACGTGACGAAAGAAGACCACGATATCAGTCTCAGTGATTCAAGTACAGATAAAACAGAAACACGAAAAGAAGACAAATCTGAAGATCAAGACATAAAGAAAACTGATAGTAGTAAAAACCGAAGCCAAAAGTCATCGGAAGATCCAGGTATCAGAACCCCATACGTATCAGAATCTTTAAGTTTGGAACTGAATGAAGATGAGGAAAACGAAGATACAAACGGGCCTGATAATAAACATGAATCGCAAGTTATAGAAGATTCTGATAAGAATTTACCAAACAGCAAAAGTGCCACACAGCGACCACAGGAGAGTGAAGAAAAGGAAACAAATGACATGAGAAAATTAACTAGTAATTTGCTCATTCCAGTCTTAAGTAAGTATTTATTGGCATTAATACTTAATGAGACATAATTATCATATTCCTGCCCGTTTCTCTTATATATATCTATTTTATTCTCATATAATTTATATAAATTATATGAAAAATATAAGGAATACGGATAGGGCAAAACACCTAAGACCTGAGTAAAATACCGCAAGTCTCGTCTTGACTGAGTGAGATTACAGTAGCTCGAGGAAGACGGGTCTTGTACCCGTATGTCTTTTTCAGTGATTGATTGACTAGGTCAGGGACTTCATCAACGAGTATGTGTTGAAAGATTACCGAATTCTTCTTCTACTTCGTGTCAACGGGTGAACACCCTTAAATTTTGACCGCCCGAAATTCCGCCACAGTTATGGCATTATCCGTTGTTCCCAACGGCTCCTCTACAGTGCAGCTAGAGGAGCACAGTGGACATGAAAGCAAATGCGGCACAATTTTGCAATGGAGCGTCACATTCACAGCGCGCCTAAGACTTGTCGATGTTGCCAAAATTTGCCATATTGCCATTGGAACCACAAATCTGCGTATGTAAGCGATTCAATGATCTCCATAGTGGCCATTGCAGTCGTTGTCCAGTGGCAGGTTTTCTGAACTTTTAATTAAACCTGCTGGGACAGGATGTTTTGCTACATTTGCTCTCTTGCCCGGTGTGGAGGAATACTACTTGCAATATTGTAAGTAGATCTCAAAAGTTACGGTGGCTTTTTAAGCGCGCAGAAGGCACCTGTAGCCGTACAGTGGGTGATGGGAATCACTTACCTGGTAAATTCTACTCAATCCTACACAGAAAAACTTCGTTATAAAAATAATACATTTTATAAATTCGTTAAGGTTCATGTAAACACATCAGTTTTAGTAATTTTCTTATTTTAAGAAGACTTCAATTAGATATATATATCATCTCTATATTTCTGAGATGTAAAAATAATTTCGGACCCAATGGAGAGCCTTTTTGATGAGCCTTTTATTTTTTTGCAGAAAGTCAAAATCAATTTGGTAAGGCAATGCACCATACCAACGAAGCTATCAAAAATATTGGCTCTGGAACATATGAAGCTGCTTCAGGTGCATTTAATTTTTTCAAAGACGCTGCTTCAGCTGTTATAAGGAATGGATAGGTTTAAGTTTTAAAAAGCTAAACACTATTGTACAGGGTGGCGCAATAGAACGTGCATATTTAAAATATTGATTAGAAAATAAATACAAAAGGTATAGTTAAAATAAAACTGAGGTATTATTAAGAAATAACTGAAGTTTATTTTTTAAAAATAACATCGTCTAAATGATGACCCTCTCTACGACGACACTCCTCTAATCGCAAACGGAAGTTATTGAAAACTTTCTTCAGTAATGCTGGTGTAATTGCTGCCATTTCACCACGGATATTCTCCTTGAGCTGATCGTTGTTTTTCGGATTATTACTGTAGACTTTGTTCTTGAGGTATCCCCACAAAAAAAAGTCAGGAGGCGTCACGTCTGGACTACATGGGGGCCATGGGATATCACCTCTTTTCGAAATCAGTCTGCCAGGGAACATCTGTTTCACAACCGCCATGGAGTCATTTGATGTGTGACAGGTAGCTCCGTCTTGTTGAAACCAAGTCCTAGAATTCACTATTCTTGAATTTTCAAGCTCTGGAGCCAAAAAACCTTCCAACATCGCAACATAGCGTTCGGTATTAACAGTGACGTTTTGCCCCCGCGCATTTTCAAAAAAAAAACGGTCCAATTATTCCTCTACCAGAGATTGCTGCCCATACTGTCACTTTAGGACTATGCAGTGGTTCTGGTGCTTGAGTTTGGGATTCTCACTGTTCCAGTAACGACAATTTTGACGGTTTACGAACCCATTGATATGGAAGTGGGCCTCATCTGAGAAAAGGATATTGTCAAAATTGGAAAATCGATTAAGCATTTCATTAGCAAATGCGAGCCTTGCTCCGAAGTCAGACTCTTTCAATTCTTGTGTTAACTGCAGCTTGTAAGGATGCAGTTTAAGATCCAAGTTTAAAATTCGTTTGCAAACTTCGTCGCGATAAGTGTAAGACAGACGATCTCTTACGAGTAGACATTTGTGGATCTCCTCGTACAGACTGCATAAACTCTCTCAATATTGTCGTCGGTCCTAGATGTTCTTGGACAACCTTTTGCTTGTGGTTTAAACGTTGAACCAGTCTCTTCAAAACGCTGTACCCATATTTTAATTAAATTAGCACTCGGAGCTTTACTAATTTGCCGTAGTCCATATTCAGAACAATATAAACGCCTAGTAACGATGTATGAACGAGAGTTCTCGTAAAATGCGCGCACGCAAAATGCGCGACGCTTCCCGTCGAAGTGACTCAATAGTGACTAAAACTCCATGAGCCCGCCTACCCAACGATGCAGGCTCCCCCCGCCCGCGCACTTTCTACCCCGCGAAAAAAGATGATGCAATATGCACGTTCTATTGCGCCACCCCTGTATATTAGACTCAGATTTAGACTTTAGACATTATAGTATGTCGTGACTGCGTGCATGCATTAAATCTGGCTTATTTTATTCTAAACATAGGTGCAAATTAGTTTTATTACATTTGCTCTCTTCCTTTCTTTTCCTCTTTTGGGTTTTCTCACTGAATCGCAAAAAATTGTTAAATGCGTTAAGAAGTTATATTGATCTCTTACATACAAATAAAAATTAATAAGTTTCGAACTTATAATTGTAGTCAATATTTTTTACTGAATTATTAAATAGAGGTTTTGAAATTTGCTATTTTATGTAAAATGATTATCAGGGTGGCGGCGACAATTAAGGACACTTTAAATCCACACGAAATAATATATTCTCTTAATACACGTTAGGACGGGTAGAATACGAATGACCCGAAATATGTTAACCGTCGGTATTTATACAATCATCTTGACCTATTTTAATACAAACTTAATAGGTAACATTGTTTATCTTAATTATCCTATTGATTATTTACGTACAATTATTATTTAATAATATTAAATTATATAACATAAATAACATTAAAGGTTTATTGCGCCGGAAGCTGTCAAGCGGAAGGCGCCAATAAAATATTATAAGTATAAATGAATCAACTATTTACTTGATTACAAAATTACTAACTATATTATAAAACAATAATAAGTTCTATATATTGCCTAATTATTAGGATGTACCTGAACTAGTTCGTAAATAATGGCTCACGTATTATGTGAGGCCGGAAGTGTTACTCGATAACATTCGGCCATCCTGTGTATGCCGTGTCCCATGGCGATCAGCGCTGCTATTGGCGCCTGGTTTGTCGCTGGTGTATGGCAGCTGGAATTGACAAGTTTAAGCAGTAATTAAATCTTGTATTATCTATTTTTTTTTTTTTTTTTTTGGTTGGCTAACACAGCTTTTATCTGTTCTTTATCACACAGCTTTTATCTGTTCTTTATCACACAGCTTTTATCTGTTCTTTATCACACAGCTTTTATCTGTTCTTTATCACACAGCTTTTATTTGTTCTACATCACACAGCTTTTATTTGTTACCT